AACTTCAAAATCTTCATCAACGGTTTAGATATTGGCATTGAAAGTATGCTTATTAAGTTTGCAGATAATACCAAGCTGGGAGGAGTCGCAACTGCTTTGGAGGATAGGGTCATAATTCAAAATGATCTGGACAAATTGGAGAAATGGTCTGAGGTAAACAGGATGAAGTTTAATAAAGACAATTGAAAAATGCTTCACTAAGGAAGGAACTATCAGTTTCACACATACAGAATGGGAAGCAACTGTCTAGGAAGGAGTAAAGCAGAAAGGGATCTAGGGGTTATAGTTATTAGCTCACATACAAGCTAAATATGAGTCAACAGTGTGATGCTGTTGCAAAAAAAGCAAACATGATTCGGGGATGCATTAACAGGTGTGTTGTGAGCAAGACACGAGAAGTCATTCTTCCCCTCTACTCTGCACTGGTTAGGCCTCAGTTGGAGTATTGTGTCCAGTTCTGGGCACCGCTTTTCAAGAAAGATGTGGAGAAATTAGAGAGGGTCCAGAGAAGAGCAACAAGAATGATTAAAGGTCTAGAGAACATGATCTATGAAGGAAGGCTAAAAGAATTGGGTTTGTTTAGTTTAGAAAAGAGAAGATTGAGGGGGGACATGATAGCAGTTTTCAGGTATCTAAAAGGGTGTCATAAGGAGGAGGGAGAAAACTTGTTCATCTTGGCCTCTGAGGGTAGAACAAGAAGCAATGGGCTTAAACTGCAGCAAGGGAAGTTTAGGCTGGATGTTAGAAAAATGTTCCTAACTGTCAGGGTGGTTAAACACTAGAATAAATTGCCCAGGGAGGTTGTGGAATCTCCATCTGTGGAGATATTTAAGAGTAGGTTAGATAAATGTCCATCAGGGATGGTCTAGACAGTATTTGGTTCTGCCATAAGGGTAGGAGACTGGACTTGATGACCTCTCGAGGTCCCTTCCAGTCCTAGTATTCTATGATTCAGTGAACTTCAATGTGGAAGAACCTCACTCCATACATAATGGAGTTGACTTATGGCAGAATGCTAGCATCAAGTCCAGTCACTCATGAAACTGCACCTGTCCAGGTTGAAATCCAAGTTTCCATTAGGAAACTTTTCAGTGTTATTTGATCAGTTCACCACACTTCTTGATCATATCCAGAATTCTCTGGGTCTCACATGATGGCCTAAACATCTCTCAGAAGATACAAACTACTTCTGACAACTGATACAGACATCATGACTGCATCAGTCTCCATCCACGGGCCAGAATTCCATTTGGACTCATTTATTTTCTATTGGAACCAGAATGCAGGACCTTAAAGAATATGTTTGAGAAATTTGTACATGTCTCCTACTGGAGCTCTGATTCTATTGTTAAAAAGGAGTGACTGCTAGTGTCTTTGCATAAACTATCAGGTATACAAAATAACTATTAAGAACAAGTATCCCTTGTTGGACAGGGTAAATACTGACAATTTATTTACCAAGCTTGACCTTCATAGTACTTATAATCAAGTCTAAATTGGGAGGGTGACAAATGGAAACTGAAGCAAAATGCAGGACAATGTAGCACTTTAAAGACTAACAAGATGGTTTATTAGATGATGAGCTTTCGTGGTCCAGACCCACTTCCTCAGATCAAATAGTGGAAGAAAATAGTCACAACCATATATACCAAAGGATACAATTAAAAAAATGAACAAATATGAAAAGGACAAATCACATTGCAGAACAGAAGGGGGATGCGGGGGGGTGGGAAGGGGGAGGAAGGAAGGTAAGTGTCTGTGAATTGCTGATATTAAAGGTAGGGAGAGTGGGATGTTTGTGAGTTAATGGTATTAGAGGTGATAATTGGGGAAACTGTCTTGGTAATGGGTGAGATAGTTCAAATTCTTGTTAAGTCCTTGTTGGCAAGTGTCGAATTTTAACATGAATGACAGTTCAGAGGATTCCCTTTCAAGTGCAGATGTAAAAGGTCTTTGTAGCAGAATGCAGGTGGTCAAGTCATTGAGAGAGTGTCCTTTCTGGTTAAAATGGCAAGAAACTGTTTTTTCTTTGTGATCTTGTCTGATATCTGTTTTGTGGGCATTAATCCTTTGGCGAAGTGTCTGAGATGTTTGTCCAATGTACATAGCAGACGGACACTTTCGGCACATGATAGCATAGATTATATTTCTGGATGCGCAGGAATATGTGTTCTTGATCTTATAACTTACTTGGTTAGGTCCAATAATGGTATCAGCAGAATGAATATGTGGACAAAGCTGGCAACGGGGTTTGTTGCAAGGGAACCTCATTCCATGAGACGTACAGCTAGTTCGGAATAGGAAGCCTAATCCGAACTAGCTAGTCCGTGCCGCGTGTAACCGTGCGGCACGGGGTCCGAACTAGCCGGCATTTAAAAATGGCGCCTGCCGGCATCATGCAAATGAAGCTCAGGAAATTCAAATCCCGGGCTTCATTTGCAACTCCGAATGACTACATTACTCCCCTAGTTCGAACTACGGGGGTAGTGTAGACATACCCTTTGTTCTCACCCACAATTATTTCCAGTTTGAGAACAACTTATACCTCCAGATCAGCAGCACAGCCATGGGTACACGCATGGCCCCACCATATGCTAATATCTTTATGGCTGACCTAGAACAACGTTTCCTCAACTCCCGTCCCCTTTTACCCCTTCTCTACTTACGCTACAGGAATTGTCATCTTGTAAAAGTAAGCACCAGGACAAGGAGATGTGACCCCAAAACCTGTCACAGTCTTGAAACCATGCCCTTTCATCAATGTGAAAGTGAACAACATCCTTGCCAGTTCTTGTGAAGTCCCTCCTATCCTAAATATACATTGACTGAAATGGCCCTAGCTTCCTGACTCAAAATTCTCGGTCAAGAACAAGATTCTCTTGGTTAAATTACCATCTCTGATGGTCAACCGTGTCTAATAATACTCTGGCTATGTAATGATTTGTGCCTGGCTGGCCACTGGAAAATGTTGAAGCTGATTTCTCAAAATTTTGGTTGTTTAAACTACTTTTGTATATTGAATTGTTCAGCAATTCCTGTGATGTATGCACTTGAATGAAGACTTCATTGCAAATCCCCTGGACACTTTGATTCCATTGGGAATGCCATCTGAAACTTTGATGTCTATCTACAAGGACTTTATCACTGAACTTCAAAATTCCCTGTGCCATATAACTATGCTACTCTAATTATGGCTCTCCATGATAACTTTGTCTCTACCTGATCTTCATGAAAGTTGGATTGACAATATGTTGGTCCATTTAGTGACCAGTTTCCATCTAGTATTTCACATCTTCTTACTGAAAAAAGTATATCAAGAATTCCTTTTCTAGATGAGTTCAGCCTCCACCAGCATCTGTCATGATCCAGGGACATAAGGCATACCTTGTTATGCAGATCTTGGACTCCAGAGTTCTCTCAGGAAGTGTATGTACCTTGTTGATTAGGATGGTTATGAACCAGCTGACCATTTATAGAAATCAGCTGACAATGTACATGCAGGGCTTTGATGAGCAATACATAAGTTCTAATGCAGCAGAGGTAGCTGGGGCCAGTAGGAAGAGGGTGTATGTGGGGGTGTGTGGGTGTGGCTTGTAGGAAGTATAAAATCTGTTGACAGAGGTCAAGATAATAAATGAAATCCAGGACTTGAGCCCCTTACATGGCCCACCATGAATTTTAACACTGTAGGTGATTTTAATAGACTGGGGAACAGAAAAGAAATATTTGCAGGATAACAGCTAGATAAAAGTGCTCTGATATCACCTCTGGAATAAATGTGGGTACGTATTACAAGGAAAACACACCTTATAAAATTAGTATTTGATTAACCTTTTGCTAACACACACAGAATCTCCAGTTCACTGATTTCATAATTTGAAGTTATCTACAAAAAACAACCAACAACAAAAAATGATGGAAAAACTCAAGGTTACAAGAGTCACCTGATTAAAAGAAAGCTTTATAAGTTTGGTAAGACCAATACTATTATCTGTGGCATAAAGTACTTCCTGGTGAGAAGCTTTATCATAAGCAGCACATTTTTAATAATATGCAGGTTCTCTACCCCAGATTTACTTTTACTAGTTTGTGAGTGGATGCAGAAGGAAGGGAAGCAATAGTCTCTTAGAAAATCAGTAGGCAGACCAGATTGAGATAATATAGTATATTATATATTTTAATCAATTAAAATCTAGAGCTTCCTAATTGCTTAATCATGAAAATTTAGAAGATCATAATTCTTATTTGAGGTTGTTGACCTTGGGGTCCTCTTCCAACATGGCCATGATTTGGATTATTTTAAGTAATCTCTTAGCAACCTTGTCCTAATCTTGATTTATGCCATTCTCCCTTTTGGGTTGTGGTCACTGCTGCTCTGGACAGCTACATCATCGCTTAGTTTGATTATCTCCCTTATATCTCCTCCTCCTAGGGTCTCTGTGAAGTAAGATATACTCTAATTGGCTCCATGTTCCTGAAAACCCAATTGCCTCTTGCCTACGTGCAACAGTTTCCTAATATGCAACTATCCCCTAGTTTTGCCTTTTGAGAAGCTACATAGAGTTTTGTAACACCCCATTCATGGATCATACTAGAGTGTAATTATGGAGAAAAGAAATTCAAGAAGTACTGGTGATACAAACAGGGATTAAGAGAGAATCAGAAATAGAGAACATTAATCACTATTAATAGCACTATGACTGGCTGGTGAGATGTGCATACATGTCCCTATAAACAGGGCCCTATGAAATCACATTGTTTATACAGGCTAAAGCCCTATGTCTTCTGATGATTTCAGAATTGACTCTCCAAGTCAGCATAAGTCTTTCAGTATCTCCACATGTAGCATGGCCTATTTCTTCCCTTTTTGTCCCCACCCCTCTCAAACTGTGTCATTAGGAGAGAGATCTACAGGGAGATAGGTTAACATACTGAACAAGAAAGTAAGATAAAGAAAAGAATTTAAAACAATTTACTCTTTTGAGATCGATTTTTCCAATTTTAATTTATTTCCTTGTTTATTCAGTAAAGGATGAAACTTGTGACTGTAAGATTACATTTTAAAAAACAAAAATAATTTAATTATTTTTCTTCATTTAATTTTGAGATAATGTTTGCATAGAATCATCTTATAACCATAATGAAACATTTCTGAATATGCTTCATGTTAAGACAGAACCATTTATTTAGTGTTTTGCAGCATTTTACCTAAAGCAATGTACCCAGTATTGCCAATCCCCAGCATTCAAAAAATTATGATATTGATTTAAAAATAAGGACATTAAAAACTCTAAACTTCAGGATCATTTTGTTTGTTTGTTGTTCGATCCTTTGAGAGTCAGATTTTCAAGCTTTCCTCCGCAGCCGTGAGGGCTAAAAAGTTCCTTTAAAGTAAATAAAATTAACACTGAGAATCTAACAACTCCAAGATCTGGTGCTTTAGGAAACACACCAAATGTCATGAAATTCATGACAAAATAGTTAGAGAATTGGCAACACTATGTACGAAATAATGCACCAAGCACAATATGTACCATATACTGTGCTTTGTTCCTTAATAATAGGATTAGTAATGCTTAGCCAGAGTTGTTGTCTGAAAATTCACATCTTATAAAAAAATTATCTTCCATTAGCGTAAGCATCATTCTAAGGCTGTACAACTATATTATACAAATGTTTATTATATTACTGAATATGACAACTGCTAAGATCTAATAGTATTTTGTGTATATACTACACATAAACATCTGAGATACCTAATATCCAGAGTATAAAGCTAATCTTCTTGATTTAGAAGTGAGTGACATCTTGACATTTTCTTTTATTGTACAGTTGTTTCAATTTCTTAAGAATTGTATGGGTCTTAGTCCTCAAGAAAGTTTTGAAGAACATAAACATAAATAATCTCACTCCATTTTTCTTCTGATATAAATTGGATGGCATTACTTGAGACTTAAAAAAACAACAACCAAAAAACAATTTCCTGGAAGCTGTTCTGATACTGGTTGTCTTTCCCCTTGACTGGAAGTGAAATTTTAGTACAAATTTCAAAAGAATGAATTCTGTGACTTCTTTGAAATACAGACTGTTCATCTACGAGAGGCAATTAACAATCAAATAGGTTCAAATGGCTCTAATTTGCCTCTCGCGTATTTTTCAGGGTAAGTTTGACAAACATTAAACGTACATGATCACAGTAGTTCTCAGCCAAAATAGAACAGGAAAAATAATTAGCAATCCAGTTAGGGAAGATGTGGACACACTAGACAGAATCCAAAGACGACCAACAAAAATGACACAAGGCTTAGAAAATGTGACCTGTGAGGAAAGGGTGACCTGATAACAGTTTTCAAATATGTAAAGGATTGTTATTAAAAAAAGGAATATGATCCATTGTTCTCTGTCTCCACTAGAAGTAGAATGAGACCTAATGGGCTTAATCTGCAGCAAGGGAGATGTAAGTTTGATATTAGGAAAAACTTTCTAACTGTAAGGGTAGTTAAGATCGGGAATAGACTCTCAGGAAGATTTTAGAATCTCTGTCATTTGGAAATCTTTAAAAACAGGTTTTAAAACGTTTTAAAATTAAGTTTGAGGCTGAGATTGCAGGCAACCATACTGGATGTAGAATACTACAGTTAAATCATGAATAATAAATGACCAGAAGGAAACTACAAGACACCATACTGTCCCATAAATGAGAGGAGTCAGGATCCACTAATAGCATAAAACATCTAGAGTACCATATTTAGGTTGGGCTCTGGTATTGAAAAGCTATTGGAGATTCAGTAGTGGATATATTATGGCTTCTATCTTTATAATGCTAAAATTTTGTAAAATCAATGCAATTTTTGCTTTGGCTAAATTTTCAAGGAATGCTACAAAAGTCTTTATGCATGATACAAATATGAAAACTGGATATTTTGCACAACTTTAATCACTCCCACAATGGCTATCAAAATCAGAGTCTGAGGAGCAATCTGATCTTCCATTAGTTATCATATAGCCAGTCTGTAGTCTATGTTTCTGCGAAGCACTATTCCACAAATATATAGCCTTCTCTGGATCAAACGTTTTGATGTCTGGGGAATTCAGCTGAATTACCATGAGATCAGTCATACTTTCAGACATTCCTTTAGAGTGCATTTGCATCATGATAAGCTTCATCTGACTGAAGCCACGCTCTGCCTCAGCTGAACTTGCAGGCAGTGCTAGGATCAAATCTACTAGCATCAGGATGTTTGGATACTTGTGCAAGTAATCTGAATTCACTGAATCCCATGTCAAACTCCGAATGTTCTGAAATCTAAAAAGCATAGCAAAAAATAAATTGGTCATGTAGAGTTTCCATAATATTTAAACACATTGGCTTCAAACATTTTAGTTCAATGAGCTTGCACAATTTGAGTTATCTTTATTACCTGTCATATAGCTCTAATTTTAGCATGCTCCATTCGGTGTCAACCTCATCAACTTTTACATTGGCACCTTCCAGTACTGGTTCATAATGCTTAGTTAGGACGGACACCTCCCTTTCACCAAATTCTGTAGCAAAGGTGAAAGAAAAAATCTGCGTAACTTAAAGAAAATACAAATAATTCAGATTTATTCAGATAGCCAGTGCATAGTTTTCCATACCTTGTTTGATCTTTTCTGGCCAAAGTTTAAAACTTCCAATGGTTGTTGCTCTCAAAACATCTTGGCTAGCATCACAGAAACAATCACGTAGCATCCTCACAAGATTGCTTAATACTTTGGTTCTTACAGGTAAGATATTTCCATTTCCTACAAGCTGGTGACCATGAAAGTGTGTAACTGTCTCCACTAGGCGCTCCTTTGGACCAGATCTAAAAAATGCAGAACCCAAACGAAATATTAATCTTTTTCTCATACTTTAAGCTAAAATATCTAGTTTAATGTTTAAATACACCAACCTTGTTTTATACATTTGTAGTGTTTCCAGTGTCGACTGCATGGTTGAAAATATATCTGCAATGGAAGAGTTACGATCCTGCGTAACACGGGATAGAATGTTGAGTACATTAATGATATCCAGCAAAAAGTGAGAGAACTTGACAACCTCCATTTTCAAAAGGAGCTTTAGAAGGCCTTTGACTTTTTGGTGATGTGAGGTGCTTGGATCCCCTTGCAACTGGAACAAGAAAATACATATCAATGAAAATTATGACAAACAAGTAGTCGTGATCTTGCCTTCCCCCTCAGATCACATACAATTTTTAAATCACTTACCTTACTCATATGTAGGAGAATGGCAGGATAACTCTTAAGAAGGATCTGAAGAGCTGTCTGTAAGCGAGAAAGCCACCGGGTGCCACCAATTCGAGAAGGAATCGCTGGACGTAGCTTAAGAGTTTCATATGTGGATTTGAGATTGGTCTTATTTAAAGGTGAATTATGATAAAAATAATATATATTTTGCAAGAGACCAATTAAAGTTGTGTATAGCTGAATGCTTTTCAGTGCTTCCTTGTAAGCCAGTTCAAGTCGATGAGCAAAACAATGCACAGACTGCACACAAGGCTGAATTTCCTTCAGCAGCTTAGCTACCCCATTGTTTTCTCCTACCATGACTTCTGCACCATCACTCCCAAACCCAACTAGTTTTCTTGACCAGTCTTGACTTGACAGGTTGAGCTGAAGATTGATTTGCAAAGTTTTTACAATGGCATTCTTTACAGTTGAAGCATCAGATTTGTCAACTGATTGAACCCCAACAATCTGGCAGTGGACTTTTCCTTTATATGCAAAGCGTACATATACAACAGCAGCTTCTTTGATTGCATTGTCTGCAACTCCATCACTAATGAGGGAGAAGAACTTACACTTTTCGAGTTTTTCTTTCAAGGCTCTACGTTCTACTTCAGCAATATAATGTATAAATGTTCTTGCTGACTTGCCATTTCTGAACATAGAACCAATGTCCACACCTTTCATGTCATCCAGTTTGCACATCCAGTCAATATCTGTGAAAGGACGTCCACACTTGGCTATGGCATGGCATGTTCTAAAAATATTTTCTATTCTTCCTAAAGTTACTTTGCTCATGCTCTTTAGCATCTGCTCAGTAGAAGCTTGGTCTCCTGTAGCATTGCTGGCAGCTTCCATGCAACTAGCCCAGGCATGAGCTTCACTGCTCTGATGTATATTTATAAATTCAAGCTTAAAAATGTCAGACCCAGAACAAAAGTTATGTATGTTTTCCCCCAAGTTCACATTATGCTTGCGACACAAGGCACAGAACATTATTCCTTTTTTACCATCATACTTTAGCCAGGGGTATTTCGTTAGCCATGTTTTCAGAAACTGGTGATTCCCCTTTGCTTGATGTTCAAAATATTGTCTCTCTTTTCCTTCGTCAATGTCTTTGTTCTTGTTAGGAGGGATATTCTTGCCTTTAAAATGCTTCAATGCTTTTATGGCTATAATTAAAAAAATCATCATTTGGGGTTTGGTTTTGATTTGAACTCATACATTCTGAAACTTTAAGGCTAGTTGGAACCATCATGATCATCTTGCCTGATTCCTGCACAGAACTTTGCCTGCCCACTCCTGTAATAGTTCCATAGCTTGACTAAATTACTAAAGTCCTCAAATTTTGATTTAAAGACTTAAAACACAGAGAACTCACCATTTCTCTAGTTCAAACCAGCAAATAAGCCACGTCCCATGCTGCAGAAAGATAACAAACCAACCAACCCTTCCACTCATACACAGGCTCTCTGCAAATCTCACTGAAAGGAAAATTCCCTTTTGACTTCTCATATCACAAAGAGTTAGACCTTGACCATATGGGTAAGACCAACCAGTCAGGGAAAGAATTCTCTGGGTAATCGAGTCTTTCCAATTTAATGTCCCATCTCTGGCCATTGGAGATAATAGCTAACAGCAATCAAAGATGGGCTGTTTGCCATTGTAAGCAATTTAATTATAATATCCATTTCATACATTTATTAAGCTCTAATATTGAAATAAGTTAAGATTTTTTGCTCCCACTACTCCCCTGGAAAGTCTGTTCCAGAATTTTGCTCCACTGATGGTTAGAAAGATTCGTATAATTTCAAGCCCAAATTTACTGATGGCCAGTTTTATCCATTTATCTTTGTGCCAATGTCTTGTGCCATATCTTAATAATTCTTCTCCCTTCCTGGTATTTATCCTCTGCTGTATTTATAGAGAACAATCATATGTACCCTCATCCTTCATTTTGTTTAGGTTAAGTAAGCCACGCTCCTTAAGTCTCCTCTTGTAAGGTATTATTTTGTTTACTTCAGTAGCTCTTCACATCTGTTCCAGTTTGAATTTATCTTTCTTAAAAATAGGAGACCAGAATTACACACACTATTCCAGATGTCATTTCACCAATGTCTTGTATAATGGTAATAAAAATCTAGTCTCTCTATTGGAAATACCTCACCTAATGCACCCAAGCATTACATTAGCTCTTTTCATCATCACATCATATTAGCAGCTCATAGTTATCCTGTGGTGACCAATACACCTTTCTCCTCCTGTTGCTTTCAACTGATGTGTCCAGATTATAACAGAAATTCCTGATATTAAAGTATAAGTGTGTGACCTGGTACTTTGCAAAACTAAATTTCCTGCCATTTCTAATACTCCAGTTTTCAAGATTGTCCACATCTCCTTGTATGATTCTGGTCCTTCTCCATTCTGGCAATACCTCCCAACTTCTTATTATCCACAGATTTTTATTAGTGCACTCCCACTCTTTGTGCCAAGGTCACTAATGAAAATATTCAAAAAAAGATTGGTTCCCAGACTAATCTTTGAGAAACTCTATTAGTAACCTTCCAGCCTAAATGCTCACCTTTCAGCACAACCCATTGTAATTTTCCTTTTAACTAGTTTCTTACCTTCCTTTTTGAGTCTTGTACTAATTCCCGTCTTCTCCAATTTAACTAATATATCCATGCAAGAGAAAGATGGAATAAATATTTCTCTTTCACCCTTTGGGCTTGGACTGACTCCACCAAGGCTCCTTGCTGGCCAGCAGAGATTGGCTGCAGGTATATAGCAGGAGAAAAGCACTACTCCAAGGAATCAAAGAAGAGGAGGAAATGTGACCCAAGAGGGAGTCTCTGAGGCACAGTTGAGAGATCTGCTCCTGGGATGGGGAAGTTTATATATCACACCTTACTTATAGTTGTGGCTAAAAATCACAATCTAGCCAATAGAGTTTCCTTTCTAGAGGTTTATCTTCATAGATATGCATGAGGTAATGACTTGCCTGAAATGACTACCATTTCAAGATATATGTTGCAACAGATCACTGTTCCTGGAGCCAGGTTTCTGCATGCAGGCATGATAGGAACCCCTCAAGCTTGGTTTCCATAGAGGTCATCTTGCACCATCCCTGCAGTACTAACTTTTTGCAGTTTGTATTGTGTTTTTGCAGTTTGTATCAGTTGCCAGTTCCTCCTTAGTAGGAAATGAAATACTTTTATAATATTATTAAAAAATAGCAAAAGAAACCTCAAACTATACAACAAGAAGGTAGATTACGGTGGTCTATCACAACATATACTGCCAGAAAATAGCAATTACAAGTAAGCATCTTTCTCTGATTTAAATATTTTTCTGGTATATTCCCCACTCTTAAAGAATATCTCAAAAATATAATAGCAAAAATTCTCCACAAACTGTTAAGAACAGTTTTGTATCATCACAAGCTAGATACATAGTAATATAAGATAATATAAAATATAATATAATACATGTGAGAAAAGCAGAAGGGGAAGAGTTCAATTAATGGGACTAGTCATGGATAAATACCTCTAAAACAAAATAAGAGACTAAAAGAGATCTCAAAAAGTAAAATAAAATTACCGAGGAACGAATTTAAGTTTTGGACACCTTACAACAGAACGTTCTCATAACACTGATAACACTTGGTAAGTGTGTGTATAGACAACATTTCACAATACAAACTGACTATAGAAACTGGACAGTTATATCAGTAGAAAAATCGCTTGCATCTTTGCTGAATATCTCACCTAGGAAAAACACAAAAAATTTAAATACCTTCTCTGATTGGGGCTTGAACACAGAAATTGTCTAGAGTGAGAGCAACTGTTTCTAATTTTGGTTTTTCAAGACACACATAGTTAATACTCATTAGGCCTTCATATGGAGGTAACACAAAATCCTGAACTGAAGACATATGACAGATATGAAATCTGAATCTTTTCAGGGAAAATGTTATGGCACTGAACATGCTCAGTGGATTCCTGATTTTTTATTGGAGAGTGTGGCGCTGATTCCTCTTGTCTGATAGCCAAGTAGAGGGACTTCAAAGAGGACACATCTCCATAATGCAACACTCCTATGAGACAGCTCTGAAATGGTGTCATTGACCAGAAGAGATACTGGGTCTTCAGAAAATGAAAAAAAAAAAAAAGTGATTTTCCCAGTGAATCTCACTCACATACAAAATATTAACCTTCTGATTAATGTATAACTCCTCTTACCTTGTGGAAGTCTGCTGCATGGAAGATATTGCAGACCTAAGGCTTAATACACAAGTGCACCTCATTTCCTGTGACTAGGCATGGGGCTTCTATTAATATTGATATTACTGTGGCCTGTCTATCTGCACTATTGATATCTAGTTTGCTTATAAAGGACTACAACACTCTTTACTGGTATTGCTTAAGTCAAGGATTTGGCCAAGAATGATAAAATCAGATGGATTCCAAAACAGTTTACAGCTTCAGTAACTGTGACAGGTATATCATTCATACACACACACAAACACACACATACACACATGGGACAAGAAAAGAGGTAATTATGTTCTCTAGAGTAACACAGGTGAGTTTGGTACACAAAATATTACTTAAATGGAATTTACTAAGGACAAGGTAACACTATGTTTGCAAACTTTTTGACATAGTTCTGCATGACAGTCTCATAAGCAAAGTAAGGCAATATGATATCATTAAAAGTATTACATGATGGATACACAACTGGTTGAAAGACCATACTCAAAGAATACTTGTCAATGGTTTACTGTTAGACCGAATGGGTGTATCTGGTGGGATTCTGCAGAGATTGGTCCTGGGTTTGGTACTACTCAGTATTTCCATTAATGACCTGGATAATGGAGTGGGAAGTACACTTATAAAATCTGAAAATGACATGAAGCTGGGAGGGATTGTAAGCACTTCGGAGGATAAGTTTAAAACTCAAAATGATCTTGGTAAATCAGAGAATTTGTCTGAATTCAACAAGGCAAAAGTCATTAAAAGACAAGTGCAAAAGCAAATATACAACTACAAAGTAGGGAATAACTCCCTTGGTAGTAGTACTGGTGAAAAGGATTTGGGGGTTATAGTGAACCACAAACTCAATATAAACGGCTAATGTGCTGTAGCTACAAAAAAGGCAAATATGATTCTAGCTGTATTTACTACAGTATTTTATGTAAAACACAGGAAGTAATTGTTCCACTCTACTCAGCATTGTTGAGGCCTTGACTAGAGTACTGTGTCTTATTCTAGGCACCCCAATTTGGGAAAGGTGTGGACAAACTGGGAAGAGTCCAGAGAAGAACAACGAAAATGAAAAAAAAAAAAAAATCAGAAAACCTGACTGAGGAAAGATTAAAAATATCTGGTTATATTTAATTTTGAAAAAAGATGATATGGGGGGGGGAGGTAATACTGTCAGATTTACCCACAAAAGCTCATGATACTATATATTTTTGTTAGTCTAAGGTGCCACAGGATTACTCGATGTCTTTCAGTATGCTAATGACTATTTTAAAGAGAACAGTGATCAGTTGTTCTCCATGTCCACTGAAAGTAGAGCAAGAAATGATGGACTCATTCTGCAGTAAAGGATATTTAAGTTAGATATTAGGAAAAGCTTTCTAACTATAAAGGGAATTAGCTCTGGAATAGGCTTACAAGGAAGGTTGTGGAGTTCCTATCTTTGGAAACTTTTAAAAACAAGTTGCACAAACATCTATCAGGGATGGTTTAGATTTAGTACTGTGAAAGCACAGAAAGCCTGAATGTAATGAGTTCTTGAGGTCCCTTCCAGCCCTATGTTTCTATGACATGGCTGCAAAAGTCCTATAGCACTTTCACCAATTACAAACAGTTGAGTGTTCAGTTGTAGATCTGATCTGAAAGACAGCACCTTCTTTTACACATAGCACTCTAACATAAACGTGGGAGATTTGCCCAAGACTGACACAGAGAAAGACACTTAACGAATCAATGTTACCACTTCTTGTAGTACACAAATTTTTCCTTCATGTCTACAGACATGTAACTAATCTGACATTTTGTTGGTTATGCAGTCCATCAAGCTGACAGTTTGAGGTAGTATGGCTGTAAAATTCTTCTACAGCTCCTTTTAAACCACATCTCTACTTGTGGGAAGATCAACACTG